ATTATTACATTTTATTAAAGACTAGATTTCATTAAAATTTTTTTCTTTTTTGTATTAATGAGGTTAATTAATAAAATTGATGATTTATATTAATATTATTTTATTGTTAAATCCTTGAAAATTTTAGTGTTTCATTGTAAATTACAATGTTATTTGATTCTTTTTTTTGGTAATTCTAATTATACAGCTGTTGTATGTTTGCCATCTGTGGTAGATCAAGTAAAATAGTCATGCAACTGTTTCTATTTTAAAAAACCCGTCTGATATCGGCCGATTGAGGCTGTTTTGAATGAATGTTAATACTTTTTCTTCAAGCATCTCGCAGCACACTGTTCATGACTTGGTTCACTTCACTAGCGACTAGAAATCATATAATCCTCTTATATTCTTTTTAAAGAGCCCTCACCATTACTGGTTAAACTTACGCTAGCTTATCGCACTCGACAAATATGGTAGAGAATCCCTTTGGCGATAAATAGTACAGATAAGTCCCGAAAAAATTCTTTTCGAGTTCCGAAAAAATTCTTTTCAGTTAAATTTAAACTTCTTTGATTTGTATTTAGAATTTTTGACTTCTCGAACTTCTCGAACCAGTATTTTATGATTTTCTGGATTTTTTATCTGTTTTTTTTTCGACAATCATTACGTAAAACTTGCTTCTGCAACAATAATTTTTTAATGGAAATATTTTCTATTTAATTGGAAAAAAAATTTTTTAAGTTGTTCTCTTTATTTTATTTTAATAATAAAATTTAATTTTGTTTATTGTCTTTTTGATTTTTAAAAATTTCTCTTTTTCCAATTTTTCCAAATTTTTTCAAGTTTCTACATGAAAAATTTTCATATATTAATTTCATTAAAAAAAAAATTTCCTCTTCTTTTTTTTGAAAAAAATAAATTTTCTTGTTATCACAAAAATCACGACAAAAATTTTTCTTGAATGCCTTATAAGTTCAATAACCTTTAAAGGCGATCATAAAATTATTTGTTGTATTTCTTGAAAAATATCGATGTTTTTTTGTTTTTCACAATTCATAAAATATTATTTTTAGAAAAATAATTTCATTGTAATAATTTGACTTATGATTGTCAAACCAAATAAATACAATAAATGTTGATGATAATTTTCATTTGATATAGGTTGATTGACTAGCCAAAAAAAAGGCCAAAAAAAAGGAAAATTTTTCGATTATTCTTCTATATTATATTGCCTGAAATTGTTTTAATAAGTTTTAGATAGATATTGACAGATAAATGACATATATTTCTTGTTATTCAGTTCGGATTTATAATAAGATTGATCAGCGAATATACGATAGGTCATATTTCAGATTTTGATTTCCATATTTTGCACATATTTTTCAAAGAAAAATTGCTTAGAACCTAAATCCATGCAATCTTCTTGATTTTTCTATTATTCCTATAGTTTCATTGAAATTTTTCAATATGTAAATATTGGCAAGGCAAAGAATTATTTAATGGAAGTATGGCAGAATTGCCAAGTATTCAAGTGTTCTTGTTGATCATTGCTTTGAAATTGGTTCTCATCTTAGTCGGGAATAACCATTACAAATGAGAAAAGAATAGATTGTTGAGATGGTACTGACCTAACCACTTTTATATCTATTAATAATTTCTCGGAAAATTTTTAATTGTATTACGATGCCAAGTCTAAATTGAACTTGTGAGAATTAATTTCTTACTTGCTTATTTAATTAATTATGGGCGATGATTAGATGAAAGTAGTATGAAGAACATCAAGTCAAGTCAAATCAAGTCAAATCTGAACAGATTTCTTCAGCAATATTTTTTAGTCCTAGCTTGGCTTACTTCACTAGGCTGTTAACTTGCTAAGTTGAAATTTTTTCGTTCATTCTCGAGTGATGAGTTCATTTGATCTTCAACGCCAAATAAAATTATCGCTAAATATTATTTTTTTCTTTTGTTATTTATCATTTCAGTTTGAATTTTTTTTTGAGTATTTTTTGGCTTATTACTTATAAGGTGCTTATCATTTTGATTAGACTCACTTGGTCGACTTGTCGAATCAAATAAATTTTGCCTTTTCAGTCATTTAGCAAAAGAAGCACAAAATGAATCGCCAGAGTATCATTCGAAACATTCTCTCTTAAAATAAATTTTTTAAAGGGTTATTTATATAAATAAAATTAAAATTATAGAAAATTTGGAGATATTTTTTTATCATTTTATCACTAATAAATTTTTTCTAATTTTATTGTTCATTTTTGTTTTTTTTTTATTTTTTGAAAAAGGAAATAGTTTAATAAAAATTTGCGAAAAAAATGAAAAACCATTCCTAATAAATTAAATCGAATTCTTTTTGAACAATCGTATGTTTCTTGTTTCATGTCGAAATGAATAAAATTTCTTTGTTTTTTAGAAAGGCATCTTTCCAATGATTAGAGTTCTTATTTTGAAAATTTTTTCTTGCATCGAACTTCAAGTTTTTGTTTCATTTTATTTCGAATTTTTGACAATTTTATTGTGCTCGCCATGAATCATTTGCTGATAGAAATATCAATGGGTCAGCACCAACTGAATTTGATTTTACAACACGTCAAAGTACCATGATGTACCATGGAAATAGCATATGCACCATATGATGATTGTGATAAGCCAGAGATCCCCAGCAGAGTCGACACAGATCCCTGTGAGTTAATAGTTAATTTTGAGAGAGGTCAATGGAACTTGAAAGACTGATTGGAGGTCGATGGACAAAATACTTGCTTGACAAAATTTTTTTTCTACATTTAAATAGAAAATTTCGTAGAAATTATAAGAACAGTCATGTGGGAATTTCTTCAATCTGATTTAATAAATTTTTTCACCGTAGAAAAAAATTTTTATAACGATCACCGACAAGAGAAAAGTATCCGCTAATATGGAAGAAACTTATAAAAAAAAAAGGAGGAAGTGTGAAAGGAAGTAAGAGGAAATAAAAAAGGAAGGAAGAAAGCAAGTAAAATTTTTTGATATCTTTTGTAAAGTAAAATCTCTTCATTTTTTAAAATAACGATATATATATCGTTATATATCTTGGTGAATAACATAAAAATCCTAGTGTGGGGTCGATGCAAGGAAAATGTTAAGGATCCATAGTGTTGCACCACTATGCACCACTATCATAGTAAAATAAAAGTTTGCATTCCGTCAATATTATTCAGGTTTATAAAATTATAATTGTTCAGATATTTAGTGAAAAATTTTTCAATGAACAATCAATTACCAATCGCACCAAAGTCAAGTTTCGCAAATTCCAGATTTTGTGATTTATAGGTGAATCGGTTATATATACATATAATAATTTATCAGATTTAATGCTGCTGCGAGAGTTGTGCTTTTTGTGGCTTTTTTATTTTTCACCATCAGATTAAAACTTAGTCTTAATTTAGCTTTGATTTTGATACGATCCTAAGTAACGATGATTCAAAAAGGTGTTAGGAAAGGCTTTCAGGATTTTTCAGGACTTTCGGATATTCTTTCTGGATGTTCTTAATGGATAATTCATTTATCTGATTCATTTTACTTTTTTTTATTCGATAAAAAATTTCTCTAATATTTTTCCTTTGCCATATTTTATGAATATTATTGAATTTATCATCGATCGCACAATCTCGTTTATCCATATTTTTTAATACCCTTTTACAATCTCATAAATATAAATAAATCGTAAAGGCCTTATAATTTTCATATTCTGTTAAATGATAAAAACAAAAATATTTTGTTTATATAAAAATATCATTGCAATTTTTATAAAATCAATATTAATTGTAAATTAATAAATTAAATTTGTCTTTGAAAATTTAATCTAATACGAAGTCATTGAATTCACTAATTTCAATTTTTATTTTTTCCTCTAAAAATTTATAATTTATTGCAATTTTTTTCCCATTAATTTGGAATTTTCTTTTATTTATTTATTTTATTTATTTTATTTAAATGAGAGAGGAATTAAATTACAAAATAAAAACTACTTCATTAAACGCCGTGATCGTAGTGGATAAAAACCTGAATGATAACAACAATAATAATTTAAAAAATTCTATAGGAAAATTCTCATAATAGAATAGAATAATGGCAATATTTAATTTTAAATTAATTTTTTTTTTTAAGGGTCCTCACCATTACTGATTAATCCCCCTTCGCTGGCTTTTCGCATTGGGCAATATGCCTTGGGAATGCCTTGACAGTAGAGATACAGGTGAGTCGCCAGCATCACCCGGATTTTTGGACGGGCTTACTTCTGGGAGGAATCGAACCTCAGCATCGGCGCTCACAATTGAGGAACAACCCACTGAGCCATTCTATCTAAATTAATAATTGAAATTTGTCTTTGAAAAAATCCGGAAGATTCTAGTGATTCGAACGATTATAATTCTATCACCAAATGACTTATTGGCAAAAATCAGTGAAGCGAATTAAACCCGAAATACCCTCTTGCAAGAAAGAAAGTTTATAGTTGAACAATTGTTGAACAGTGAATGTAAGAAGAAATTCTTCTTCTTCTTCTAATAGATCTCACCATTACTGGTTAGGTTGCTGACTATAAGGATAAGACGTTTCCAAGCCGATTTGATGCCATCGTCGACAGTAATGGACAATTTTTTGTTTTATAATTATTTTCTCCCGAGATATGCTTGATTTGTTCAGGAATAGACGTAACGAACTGCTGGATCGCATGCGTATTTATACTGAAGCACCTTGAATGGAACACCTAAATGCATGGAACTTTCCCCTAATTTATCTAATTTTGCACCAAATTTTCCATTTCATTTTTCGATTTGTTTTTTCGAAATTTTTATAAATTTTATTTGTAAAATAAATTTTTTCACAATTTTTAATTTATGAACGATTTTTCTCGCCTATTATTTGTTTTTATTTTTTTTCATTTTTTAAAATTCAATTAAAAATTATTTAATTTTTATCATTTTTTCCTTTTTTTTAGCAAAAATTTGAACGACAAAATCGATTTCATCTAAATGGCTTCGCTACTGCGAAAATTATTTGGTGCACACAATAAAAAAGTTACACAAAAAGATTCGATCACAGGACGAAATAATAGTTTTGTAAGAGTTTCCTCTAAATTTTTTTTTCTTTTTTCTCATTAATTTACCAGTTTTTCGAATATTATTTATAATTCTTTTCGCGGTTAGTTAATTTATTAATTTTTAATTTGGCTTAAACGTAATTGAATAACTCGTTTTTGCTTTGCTCGAATAGAAAACATTAGCATTTTTCGTTAATAATAATAAACAATTTGTATTATTAGTAGAGTAGCATTATTTTTTTAATAATGTTGGGGATAGAATAGCTCAGTGGGTTATTGCTTAATTGGGAACGCCGATGCTGAGGTTCGATTCCCCGCAGGAGTAAACCTTTGCAAGAATCCGAGTGATGCTGGCGACTCACCTGTATTTCTATCGCCAGGGGATTCCCTGGCATATTGCTTAATTGCTCCAAGCCAGTGGAGCGAGTTTAACCAATAATGGTACTGGCGGATGGAGTGAGAGAAGGAGAACTGGTAGGCGTGGGATTACGGAGACCGAGCGTCCAGGCCAAGCGTGGCGTCGATAAGGTGTCATAGCAGGAATGTCATGGCAGCTGGTCTGTGTTAGTGATTCGATGCAGGTCAATCAGTCTCATTGATAAAATTATTAGAGAGTAAAATTTTTTCTTTGGATGAGTAAAAATTTCTAAAAAAAACTAATTTCTAAATTAACTAAATTTCTAAAAAATAAATTGGATCGCTTAGGAAATATTTGAAAAAATATTGAAAATTTTTTTTTTAGTTAATATTTTTAAAATTTTATAGCCATGAAAATAAGAGAAAAAAGAAAAAATCTTTTTTAATTTTAATAGTTTTTAAAATATTAATGATTTATTTAAAAATTTTAAAAGAAAATACCAACGATAAATTATAAAGATTAATTTATTTATTACTTTTGCTGTTTACTGTTTAATGGAAAATTTTTCGGTGATATAACAAAATTTATTAAATTCGATTACGAACTTGTTTTTATTTTCTAAATTCATGAAAATTCTTTTAATTACTACTTTTTTATTACTTTTTTAAATTTTAAAGAAATTTTAAATTTTAAACAATATTCTTGAAATAAATAATTTTTTTTTCAAATTATTAATTATATATTTTAAATTGTTTTATTCGAAATTTTATTTATTTATTTTATTTTATTTTAAATTATTTTTATCAATTTTTTTCAAATTTATTTATATATTATCATTAGAAACACCATATTGTGATACCATCGTCGACAGTAATAGAAGCCATTCCTTTTTCTATCGTCTAAATCCATATGATTCGACATTTAATCAATCAATCAATGTACTGAATATAACTAAAGTAGTAAATAAGTAAATGGAATACAATACTCATTTATGGCAAGATTTACTTTACTACTTATTGATGATATGAGAAATTTGAACGTAGGATGGGGTCCACAGGTGGGTCGACAACATCGCCTGGATCTTCAGATGACATCTTTCGGAAGTAGAAGTTGTACCCATGACACTCAAACTATAATCAATAATAACTCTATCAATAATAATTATCCGAGCAATAATAATAATCCGAGCTCGGTCTATTGGGTACGGTCTATTGGGTATAAGGAATATATATTAAGATCTTTGCAATCATTCATTATACTATGATTGATGACTGACAGCTCCAGATGGTGCAGTATTCTCATTATGACTCTATAACTCCGATGAATTTCTAGGGTCTTAAGTTATTGACAGATGAGAGCGAGCCAAATTAGAAATGATGGAGGCGATGCTATTAGCCGAATTGAAATCTTTGAATAATTCAACTATTTTAAATCATAAATCAAACGTATATATTTTGATATATTTGATATATTTTGATAGGCAAAAAGTTGCAGCCGGTTCCATATTTATCGAAATTAGAAGGCAATCAGTTACAACCCGGACAATCTTTAATAATACGAGGATATATTATAGGTAATTTAAAAATTTTTCTATTTTTACATTTATTTTATAAAGCATTTATTTTCTTGCTAATCTTATTTGTTAAATTCGACTTAAACTTCGACTTTCGACTTATTTTCTATATTTTCCTCCCTTTTTTTTTTAAAAAAAAAAAAGAATTCGTTAAATTGCAATTTTTTATTTATTTAAAAAATGATTTTTATGAAAGAAATTTAGGTCGAAGTGAATTCATAGTAAATCTAACAAGTGGTGCGAAGGTTGAAAAAGAAGACGAAAATGATACGTTGGATAATCGACTACTCGTATTGCGTGCAAATATTACCGAGAAAAAGGTTTATTTGAATGCATGCATTGATGGACATTGGGGTCGGTTAGTTTTCAGTTTTGTTTTCCTTTTTTTCTTTTGATTTCATTTCTCAAAAACTCAAATACTCAAATTTAGCAACAACTCTTATATCATTTTTGGTTAAGCTGGTTCCACTGGTAATTTACAAGGATAAAATCGCTCGATTTCTGCAGTTAAACCCCTTTTTATATCGCTTAAATCTAAATATTGCCTATCAGCTATTTTTTTTTTTTACAAAATATCTAAAATAAGAAAAGATCTTTATTATTTTCAATCACCTAATCTAAATTTTTTCTTTCCTTTACTATGGAAATTTAAAATTAAAAAATAAAATATAAATTATAAATTAGTTAAATAAAATATGAATTATAAATTAAATTATTATTAATTATATTAATTATATAAATTATTGATTTAAATGATTAAAATAAAATATAAATAATAAAAATAAATTATTTTAGAGAAGGTTCGGTGAAACACAAATGGTCTCCAGGTGATGAGTTCGACATTCGTATTCGATCTCACGACAAACATTTTGAGGTATTATTTTTTTTAAAATAAAAAATTTTATTTTATTTTAATAAACTTTAAAAAAATTAAAAATCATGCAAATTTTTCAGATTCTCTAATAATACAAAATTATGGTTTGCACAATGCAAAATTTAGCATAAAATTTTAACATTTATTCATAATATTTTTTATAATAATAAATTTTATTTGTAATATTCTTTGGAATATTGCAATTAATTTCTACAATAAATTTTAGACGTTCATCTATATTTTATATTATCTTATCATTATCATTATCTTTAAAATATTATATATTTTTTCTGAAATTATTTTATCATCCAATTATCATCCATTTCATTTCGTATTAATTCTTATTTTTTTGTATTTTTTACAGATCTTCATAGAGCATAAATTAATGGCAAAATTCACTTATTATATACCGATTACACATATTTCGCATATTTATATCAATGGCGACGTTGAACTTTATTCTGTTTCATGGGAGGGGAAATATTACGTTAGTTTTTTTTTTTTTTTAAGCAAATATTTCATATATTTTTATTATTGCTAAAGGGGATTAGAATAGTTGTGAGCTGTTGCTCACTTCTATGCGCCAATGCTGAGGTTCTGCTTCACGCAAGAATAAATCTATCCAAAAATCCGAGTGACTGCTAGCGACTCATCTATATTTCTATCACCAAAAGGTCTCCAGTCTCCCTGGCATATTTGTCTTATATCAATAATATTGAGAGCTCTAAGAAGAGAAAAAAAAAATAGATTATTGCTGTATAGAAAATTTATTAAAGAATAATATTGTAAACTTGAGAAAAACCAATTGTCCATCGTTATTATGTTGATTTTTGTTTTTTTTTGGTCAAAATATTACTATTGCTTCTTTTTTCCTAAAAAATTTGACCATTTTTTGGTTCAATTTGGATCGCTTGTCGGATTAGAAAAATTATGGCAAAGAAGAATTATTTAATGATAGAAGCACGAATGAAACGGAAATGAAACATTCGGATATCTGGAGAAGAATTCCAGCATCTCAGGGTCTAGGCATGTAATTATAACACTGCTTACAATTAAGCAACTAGTTAACCGTGGTACCATTGTTATAAATTAATATAGAATTGATAATAACATCATAAATATAATATAATATCTAATCATATTCTAATCTTATCTAATCAAACTTAATTTTAGCAAATTCCTTATGCAGCTGATATTCCAGCAAATTTTTATCCAGGTCGCAAGCTATACATATCAGCATTGACAAGGAAAAGAGCAAAACAATTCACAGTTGATTTTCATTGTGGTTCAGACATTGCTTTTCGATTTAATCCTAGAATCGTTGAAAAGGTTCATTTTTTAAAATAATATATTTTATGAATTTTCAGATTTCTCAGATTTTTTAGATTATGAAAAAAAAAATGGCAAAAATTTTGAAAATTTTTAGAAAATAATTCGAAATACACGATGTGATGATCGTTGGGGTAATGAAGAGAAAAGTTCGGAAGCAGCGTTTCCTTTCCGAAGAAAGCGAACTTTCGATTTATTATTTTATTGCGAAGAGAATCGATTTGTTGTTAGTTTCTCTTTAAAAATTTTATTATTATTATTATAATATTATTAATATTATATTATAAATAAAAATATAATATTTATAAATGATAATATAAAATTCTGGCATTTAATAGATTTTTTTTCTATAAAAAATTTCACTGGAAAAATTTCTAAACAAATAATTTTTTTTATATTTATATTATATTTATTAGAAAAATCTATCCAAAAATCCATTTTTAGTCAAAAATTTCGAAATAAAACGATTAATTCCTTGAAATCCTTTGAAATCAAAAGAAAACCATTTATTGAAAAGAATTGTAACTTTACAAATAAGAACCTTTAAATTAAAATTAATCATTTATTTTAATCATTTGTGGATGATTAAAAGTCTAATTCCTAAGGTTTTCATTTTCATTAGCATCTTATCATTGATCTTTAAAATGTCCATATTTTAATCCTTTTTAAGAAAAAAGAAATGATTTATCGCTTTAATAGAACTTTATAGGTAGTAGTGAGTTATCTCTAAAATTTAAAATATACTAATCTCTTTCTATGGCAGATTTGTCCAGTGTGATAAGCCAGAGGAGCAAGTCTAACCAGTAATGGTGAGTACTTTTAAAAAAAAGAAAATAATAGTCTGTGAGTATATAGCCTTTCACTCACCTACACACATTCCCAATTACAGTACTCACCATTTCTGATTAGACTCGCTCCTCTGGTTTGTCACACTTTTCTGGTTCGCTTAGAATGCTTTTGCTAGAAAGTTAGGGATTTGGAATAGAGAATGCAACCGGAATATATTTGGAGATTCTCTTCTAGTATTGTATTAAACGAAATAATGGACTCACTAAATTATTTTTGGCATTTAATCAGCAAAATTTCTTTGCAACTTAAGCAATTTTTCGTTTAATAAGTATATATTTTCAGTACTATGTGGATGATTGCTTAATAGGTACATACAATCATCGGTTAGGTCCGCGTGATATCGATAAATTAAGTATCGACGGTGATATCGATCTTCAAGGAGTCCATTTGAAGTGATATAACTCAAAATGATATTGTTTATCCATTAAATCAATCAATTATATCTAAATACTAATAAAAAAACATAGCTGCTGCCTCGAGTCCATTTTATGATAAATTGATAAATCATGATAAATTGGTGAATGCTGATAATATTGTGCATTTATAAACATTTAATTAATTTGTATTTTATTATTTTAATTGATGTTTTAGCAATAATATGAGCAATTTAACCATTTCATCGCTGTTTTCATTTAACTAAAATTATTGGAAATATTAAATATTTTCATTAGATATTTGTGAAGAAAAAGCGATTACATCTCTTCGTTGAAATTATAGAATCGATTATTTCAATTATTATCGATAATTATACTATGCATTGATAAAATGATAAAATGATAAAGAGATTGAAAGCGATTGTTGATAATTAAGCAATATTCCAATATAAAAATATAAAAAATATTTTTCAAAAATTTTTTAATTTTTTACGTAGCCGATTTGAGTTTTAATTCAAATTCAAATTGCTCTTAGGCACAAATTTTATTTGGCCTCATTTAATAATTTATTTTAAAAATTATATATCATCTTAAATTTTACAACTTTTTTCGCATTTTCGAATCACCAACTATCAGCAATGAACTCTTGGAAACGTTAAAAATAATAATGATAACAATAATAATAAAATAATAACAATAAAATAATGACAATAATAAAACAGTAATAATAAAATGATAATAAAATAGTAATAATAATGATAAAATAACACTAGCAATGAATTTTAAGTACCAACGAAAATAGTAGTTTTCAGTGAGGATCCCCCAGGGTTTTGCGGGAATTTTTTCATACATTGTGATACAACAAAAAAGTTTCCTGTCACAGCATGTTATGTGGAGATATGAATTTCCTATTTATATTATCAAGAGAATTCTTTCAGATGACAATATAAAAATTCTTCTTGGTTTTCTTAAATCTTGGTTATCATATTCAAAATAAATTGCTTTAAAAAAAAGTTTTAAACCTTAAAACCTTAAAAAAACTACATATGAAAATAATTGATACGCTATGAAGAAGAAATCCATGAGCAGCTAAAAACCGACAAATCCCCCTCCCCCTATCGGAAAAGACCGAAAATAAGAAATAATAATACGGTATGAATTTATAAAAATTATTTTTCCCTTTTCTTTTTTCACGCATCTGTTAGTTAATTTGTAAAGCATTCTTTTAATATATCAAAAACAACAATTATGAAAATATTTCTTTTTGAATTAAAATAAATAAATTTGATCAAATTTCTTGATTTATTGATCTACTAAGATTTTTGTAAGAACCACCCAAATGGGCAATGGAACATTCCGAACAAACAGTGTTGGATTTCGCAGCTTTGGGAGGATCGACGAACCATCGCCCTCGTCTTATTTCACATTTTTTTTATTCTTTGTTGTAACTCTCATTAAATACATTCGCCTTTGCTTCAAATCTGTTAAATAACTAATTTCATTTATTATCATAATTTTAATTTTAATAAATGTTTTTATTCATGGTCGCATTTGTACGCTCTTTCTCCGACACCCCCCTTCCCCCTTCCTATCTTTGACTTTCGTTATTTTAAGGCTATTTTATAATTTAGAAAAACTTATATCTGCATTTTCAACCGATCATCCTAATAATTATCGTAAAATTTTGCAAATTTGCTTTCTTTGAAACTAAATTTAAATTTTAATAATAATATTTAAATTTTTATAAAGATTTTTCTTTTTTTTTTTGTCATAGCTATCGGTGAAATAAAATTTTCAATTATTTTAGCTGAATTTTTTTCCATTTAATTTATTAAAAATAAATAATTTTAAGGTTTTTCAAGAAGATAAAAACCTAAAAAAACTTGAAAAACCTTTTTTATAAATATTAAAGTTTGTCGTAATTTGTTGAGTTTCTAAACTAAATGCGATTCTAATTTGTAAAAAATGGCCAAGTGATTTTGTTAAATTGGCCAAGTGACTTTATTAAAATAACCGAATTCAGATTTGTTTATTTCACCTCTTCTTTTCATTTTTGAGAACACTTCTTTATTGAGAAAAGATTGCTATCAGGTTTTACGACAAGGTTTTAAGAGTTAAGAAAAGTGATAAAAGCGATAAAGTGATAAAAGCGATATTTCTCACCAATTCCTCATTGTAAACAAAAAACAACAAAAACCATCTCTTCCCTCCTCCTTCACTCCCCTTCCTTCTTACCCCCCCCCCCCCCCCCCCCCCCCCCCCCCCCCCCCCCCTCCTTCCCCACCTCTCCATTATTCCAATTTCGATACTATATTAATGTGGTATGGTAAAATGGGATTTGTGGAATAAATACTCACGCCATTTAGTAAATATTTCGACATTATTGTATTTATTATTATTACTGTTATTACTTTGAAGACAAGAAAATAGGTTAGAACCAATCGTGTTGGGTACTTCTATATCTAAACATATTATACAGCAATAAAATAGCACAAATTATGATGGATGAAAGGGATCTACAAAAAAAAGCTAACCAAACCACTCTCCACCAACAAACCGAACTGTTTACTTTGGTACTTCTGCAAATCGTTTATAAAGGTTCATTTTTACAGCATTTGCAAATCATGGACACCCTCGTGAATCTGATACGCGAAATAACAATGCTAAATATCGGACTGCATGTTCAAATTTTCATAGCTTAAAAATGGTTCGAGCAGCTTTTAACTCCAAAATGAATTGATAAGTCTTATCGTTATCACTAGTGGGGAGTGGGGTGCACTTTTGTTTTATTTTTCATTAGTGCTATTTGGTAATTATTTTATTATACAATTTCAATTATCAAGTGGTTATTTATTTGTTTTTATAATGAAAATATTTGTTTTCATTCGGTTAAATTATATATTTGAAAAAGGTCAAAAGGAGTCATTTAAATGCTTTAAAATTTTTCAATATTTTTTCTTTTTTCCATTCATTTCAATTGGTTTCATAATTTTTATAGTTTTTTAGTGCATAGTTTTCATTTTTCTCTTCATGAAAAAAACGAATTTTTCAATTCAAAATTTTAAAAAATAAATAAATTAAAAAATAAATTTTAAAATTTCAGCTGCAAATGCAAAATTTAAGTCGAATCGTTGGGCGAATTTCTCGTTCATCGAAATTTTTGATTTTGAATAAAAAATCATTGAATACGTCGATAAGATGTTTTGCTTCGGCCAAGGATATTTTCAATTTCGACTCGAATAGCGTCGTTTGTTTATTTTCTCAATTTTATTAACATTTTCTATTGTTTCCTTGCAAAATATTTAATAAAACTAGAAAACTGATCGTGGAACACTGAAATTAATTTTTGCGATTATTTGGGTATAAAAGAAACAAGTACTATTTGTCGTACAATTTTTATAAAATCAACACAGTATTGTATATATAAAATTAATTATGGATGAAAATTTGAAAATTTGTGGAAAAAATGATTTTCAAAATTATTAAAATAGTGAATAATATTGTTGTAAAAAGTATTAAAATAATAGTAACAATTATTAAATTAGTACAAATTAATAAAATAATAGTAATAATAATTAAAATAGTAATAAAATTGTTGATGTAATTAATATGTAATAATGTAGTATGATAATTACAATAATAATAATTATAATAATAATTAATAAAGTTAGGGGACAGAATGGCTCAGTGAGTTGTTCAATTGGGAGTTCGATTCCCCGATGCTGAGGTTCGATTCCCCACAGGAGTAAACCTGCACAAAAATCCGTGTGATGCTAGCGACTCACCTGTATTTCTATCGCCCATGGCATATTTGTCCAGTGCGACAAGCCAGTGGAGGGGGTTTATCCAGTTATTGTGAGGACTCTTTAAAAAAAAAATAACTAAAATTAGAATTAAGTATTTATAATTTGGGAAACTCTAGTTTATGCAATATTTTTTTTTCTATGAATTTATTCTTAGTTCTTTTTTAGCATTCTTTTTTTGCATTTTTAAGTAAATTTTAGTAAAATTTCTTATTTGGCAATAATTATTTGTTGTTATTATTTTTTTTAGAATTTCCCAGATATACCGGCAATCCCAGCTCCGCCACCACCGAAATTATCAATTGAGGAATTAGCTGAAGCTGGTGAAAGTGTTCTTAGTGAATTAGGTTTGTTTAGTTGGTGGAAGCCGACAAGTTATGTTCGATTACTTTTAGAATATTCACATATATGTTTTGATATACCTTGGTGGGCGACAATTGTTGCTAGTTAGTTTTTAAATTTAATAATTTTGAATTTGTCTTTATTAGCGATGATTCTAGAAATTTAAAGAAAAATTTTTTTCATTTACTTTTTTCTTTATTAAATTTAAATTTTTCATAAATTTTTCGTTAATTTTATTAATTTCATTAAATTTTTGTAAAAGGCTTTTTTTTCAGCTACAGTTGGTCTACGTTTGGCTTTAATTTATGTTCCCATTATGTCGCAACGGCTTGTCGCTCAGCGAAGTATCTATGCTAATGAATTCGCTGATTTTCAAAATCGAATTACTGAGGCTCAAAAAGAAGGCGATACTTTACTGGGTAATCACTTTTAAAATCTATAAAAAAACTTATTTATTTCTATTTAATTTTGATTATATTAGTTATATTAATATTGTATTAGTAATGGTAATAAATTTGCCATAGCCTCGACAGGTTACCTAGTATTTCCTTTTTCTTCTGCTTTAACGTTATCATATTTCCATTTTTCATTTCTTGGAATATTCTATGAACCTAACTGATTAATATTATTTATTTTTCTATGTATTTATTATTGTAAGATAATTTTGGCAGTAATTTTTTTAGTTCAACAGGTTTTACTCGAACAACGGGATTTTTGCTTGGCAAAAGGCATTCGTAATGGGCGAATGATAGTTGTTCTTTTGGCAAATGCTTTTGCATTCACTATTCAATTCTTTTCTATAAAAAAAATGATTGCAGCTAAGTGAGCGTTTTGCTGTTAGAAAGAAATCGGCGAATTTAACAAAAAATTAGTCGAAAATTTATTAAAAAGTTAGGTTAAGGAAAAGTGCTTTCGCATTAGCCAGTGCTACATTTTAAAATTTTTTTAAGATTGAGAACTAAAAGCTCTTGAGGCAAGAAAATTTTTGTAGACTTGAAAAAAAGTTTATACAAACTATTTTCTGTTAGCTTTTTTTAGCATGGCGAACTGTTTCAAAATTTTTTAAAATATATTGTAGCTATCCTGGTTGGTCGTCTGGTGGTGCTTTGTGGTTTCCAGATCTTACTGTTAGTGATCCTTATTATGCGTTGCCACTGATTTCTGCAGTTACCATTTTTCTTGTTGTTAATGTAAGTTTTAATTTTTTTTCATTCATAAATCTTTCCATTTCAACGTTTATTTTTATTTTGTCTACATTTTTTAAATAAATGTAATCTTTTATTAGTTTTATCCACATCATTAATATACAGCATTTTTGAATAATTTTATTCAATAGCTTATTTTGTATTTCAAAGCGTTCTTTATTTTTCAAATTATTTGGCTAGGATTAATAAAATATTAAAATTGCTTTATTATTTATTTAGTTCATTAGATTTATAAAATAAAATAGTAACTATGGTGCATAGTCTGAAAAACGATTAGTAGTTAATCGCAGCGATAAAATTCGAAGATAAAAGAATGATGATATGAAATGTATGATTTATTTATTGGTTTAATTTAATATATTTGAGTGTTCGTAGATAAAATAATTATTTACAAGTGTTTTAAGTGTTGAAAATTTCGAAATTTCATTTAATTTCATTCATTTATCCTATTAAATATATAGAAAATGGTCGTAATTAAGGATCCATATTGTAATTTTAAATTCTCGATTTTTAATGTGCCTTTGGCTACCTCAAATTTCATAAGAAATTTTATAGATTTTTGAGAAACACGAAAGTTTTTCTGTTAAAAAAAAATATGCGAATATTAGAAAATATTAGAAAAACTAAATTTTTTTTTAGAGTGGTATAGAATTCGGTGCTTCTTCAGAACAAGTATCTCCTGTGATTGGATTAGGAATGAAATATGGCATTCCCATATTAGTATTGATTTGTACATCACAGTTTGCTTCGGTATTATTTTGTGAAATTTTATTCGCATTATTTTTGATATTTAATGCTTAAAATGATTAAATAAAAATGAATTTACGTTTTCAAGATTCTTACAATTCTTTCTTCATTTGGTTTGATTGCTTTAGATTTTAGTCATTGTTCGCGGTTCATTTATTTTATAGGGTTTATGTTTATACTGGTGCACTTCAAATTTAATGTCTCTACTTTACGCTGGTGTATTTCGAATCCCAGCAGTGCGTAATTTCTTGGAAATTCCGAAAGTAGTTGCACAGCCATTGCAGAGTGAAGGACAACGAAGTTTTGGAAAATTTTTGCAAGATTTTAGAGGTCGATTTCTCTTTGTTAATTATTGAAATCATTGAAAACATTTTTTTTTTTGATTTTTTTTTTAATAGTTTCACTTTGCTTTAGTGATTCGAATTCCAATTTTTGCGATTTTAAGATTTATTATATTATTGACAAATTGATGGCATGAAAAATTTTCAGAGAAAAGAGCGGCTCCACCCTCATTGTACGATTTGACCAAAGAAGATCTAAAACAATTTAAGAAAGCAGGTCGAATAAAGAAGGACTGACCACTTTCAAGATAAATTTTGCATATATCGTTTCATTTTAATCACAAATCATATTTTTATTTGCGATATTATTATGTAAACTAATAAAAGATTGGAGACAAATTTCTTTTTGAAATAAAAATATCCACTTCACCAAAATAAATTAATTGAGAAATGAATTTTAAAATAATTTGAGAGGATTTTGGAGGAGATATAAGGATTTTTTTCAGGATTTTGCTGTTAAAGTTGATATCATCCTTTAGTAAAAAATTTTTCTCATTTTGACTTTGAAATTTTTCGATTTATTACATAATATTAAAATTTTAAAACGATCAACAACTATTCTTTTATTGATTTAATTGAATGAATTCAACATTTTTATGAATATGACAATTAAAAGAAATTTGTGATAATTTTATAAAAAATATAAATTATTAAAAGAACAAAAAAAACATATCTATTTTTTTTGCATTTTTAATATGCACTATTATTATTAAAAGAGTTTTTGAAAGTTTTCGAAACTATTTGAAGAAAAATAGTGATTTCTTTGAAATTATTCGCTAATTGAGTAATTTAAGATAAAATCTTTTGAGAGTTTATTAACCATAAAGAAAAATTTGTGATTTTATGCTACTGATTTATGCAGTTTTTCTAGTGCAATATGTTGTTATTTAAATAAAATTGTGATTATTTTTTATTTTCAAAACAAATTTTATAAAAATCTTAAAATAAATTTTAAAAAATTAAAGTTTAATGCATAAAAAAATAAATTTTCAATCGTTCAATTGTTCTATTAATGAATTTTGAATTTTTTTTTGCACATCAAATTTAGTTTAAATTTGAATATTTAAAATTAATTTTAAAAAAAAAAAGCGAATTTATTTTAAGCGTTTTTTAAATTCATTCTTAATAAGATGAAGAAAAGAATAGAAGGAAGTCGCCCTTAGGGAATTTTAATGAGAAAGCATTTCTATTAAAATTTTTTTTCTTTTTATAGTTCTGTTATTTTTGCTGAAATAATAAATAAAATTTTATTTATACATATATATATATATATATATGTTTGTTCCTCCCAAATATTATTTTTTAAATAAAAAGAAAAATGTATTTAACAAAATTGCTTCCCTTAGGGGTTGAAATTTAACTCCATTGTGAATTGAAATTTTTTCATCGATTATATTTGATTTTACATTTTGTAGCAACTTTTAAATTTTTATATTTATCATTTTTATATTTATAATTTTTATATTTATATTTATCAATTGCAATATTTATATTTATTGATAAACGAGTCTTTATTTTGTATTTTTTAAGATTTTCATTATTTTCGCGTTTTTTAAATTTTCTAAACGATTATTGAATAATTTAATAAAATATAATAAAGTCATTAAAAATCATTTAATGTATATGTAAATACATTATCAAAAATAAATAATAAATATAAAAATATGTATATGTAAATGAGATAAATCATAATTAATAAATGAATAATAATATATATATTATTACAATAATAATATATATGTAATAATAAATAAATATATTTATACACAATTATATATATATAATAATATAATAATATATATATTATATATAATAATATATATATATATATTATATATTATATATATAAATAATATATATAATAATAATAAATACATATATATATATATAAATAATAAATGCAAAAAATATATAAAGATAAAAAATTACATGAAATAATAGATATATAAAAATATATAAAAAATTATAAAGAAATAAAAAATAACTATATGTTCACTATTTATGCTTTTGTTCATAACTGATATTTGGATTGTTAGATGGATGGAATAGCTGTTCGAGTATATAGATGGATAGCTGCATGGATGGCTGGATGGACGGCTGCATGGACAGCTGGCTGGATATATGGATGGATAGCCGCATGCATATATGGATATGTAGCTGAGATAAAGATGGATAAATGCGTCGTCATTTTTGAAATCCTGAATAATTTAGTGCAATTTTTTTCATAGATATCTGAACAAAGTGCAGCCAGTTGTTTTTTTCTCTTTTTATTTTCAACAATTTAATAACTTAAAATTATTTCAAAATTACTCTCAAATTACAATAAATATTCGTAACTCCGCTCGCTCGCTTATTCGTTTATCGCAAATAAATAATAATTGAGACTATTTTATGTTTTAATTAATTTATTTATACATAAAATATTTTATTGCGTGACAAATTAATTGATCCTTTTAAAATACATTGTTTTGCTGAAAGAAAATGTGAAATGAAAAAATGTGATTAAAATTATAATTATTAAAAATTTGTGAAAAAAATTTATGCATTTATTTAAATTTAATTTTAATTAATTTTTTTTCAAATAAAATTAATTAATTAATATTTGCAATCGATAATAATAACAAATAATAATAATGATAATAATAATGATAATAATGATTATATTTGTGATTAAATAATAAATTTGAACTTAAAATATAATTCGATTAATTTAAAAATTAATTTTATCCATTTTTTTATTAGAAAATTGCAATTTTGCTTTCAAAATTTTCGAATATTATTTTTAAAAAAAAAGTATTTATTTGAAGACAAATTTGACGACTAATGATTTAGCCAAAATTCACCTCGATGAAATCATATTTAACATCTCAATTAACTAAATAATTATTTAGAAATTTGCTTAACCATTTCGCAAATATGGATTTCCGTCTTATTTCTAATTTGCCAATTTTGCCCGATTTTCTGAATTCCTTTTATTCATAAATTTTCGTTGATTTCATTTAAGCTATAGCTAAACAAAGCAAAGAATAAGATAAAATGACATATATTTAAGATAAATTTATGCTTATCAGCGAAATTGAACTTATCAGTAGATTTAAGAATCATATCAGTCATTGAATCATTGAATCTTTCAAGTTGAATCGTTTTCTATTGTGAAAAAAAAGAATTGCTGTTCTTATATCGGAAATTCTTATTGAATCCCATTCATTAATGCTATTCTTAATCGGAAAATTGAACTAAAAAAAAACAAACTTTCTATAGGCAACCAAAAATTAAAGCTTTAAACTTCTTATTTGAAAGGTTTTTAAATTTTTAAAAAAGGTTCAATAATTATCATTCATTTTATTTCTTTTTTTTTCGCACAATATTTTTTTTATAATATTAAATTATTATTCGAATAAAATAAAGGAAAATGTGATATAGGAAGTTAACATAATTAAGGTGACATAAAAATTTGACATAAGCATTGATTTAATAACGGAAGCCACGATAGGCGATTGTTTAGATATTGAAAATGAATGAATAAATGGTTCAACTCCTTCTTCCAATCTTATCATAAAAGCAGTCTTATCATTAAATAATCTAATCTATTTGTGGTGGTGGTGGCTTCCAACGTGTAATTCTATCCATCGCCGATTTAAGCTATCATGATAATGATATATCATTTAATGATATGTCAAATTTTTAAGATCGAATTTTTAAATTTTTGCGAAATTCTTCGAATTTTTTTTTATTCAAAGAAAATCTATATTATTAACACTAACTATTAAAAATAGTTTTTTTAGTAGCTTTTTCAGGCATTCATTTATCCAAAATCCAAAATTACATAGAAATTAGCCATTCGCCTTGAAAATTTCATTTTTCTTATATATTAATATAAAATTTAAAATTATAGAATTATAATAAATAAAATAATAAATAATAAATTATAAATTATAAATTTAAAAAAACAAAAAATTCGATCAAAATTTATTTTCATATTTGATTTGCTTGCACGTTAGGGAATAAATCGTTTCGATTCTCATAAATGTATATTTATTGTTAAAATAATTTTTACAATAAACATATTCAATTTTTCAAATTTTTCTTATACAAAATTTTTTCATTCAATTAAAATAATTGAAATTTACTTAGAAATTTTTATTTATTGCAATTCTCATAAGAATTCAAATTTTATACCAAATAAAATTTCGAAATTTAAAAATTTAAAAATTTTAAATATATCAAAATTTTTTTATTTTAAATTAATATTCAACAACTAATAAAATCTATGAAAATTTTAATTTTGATTTTTTTCAAGAAGTATAATTTCGATAAGTGAAAGTTTCAAATATTTTAAATAATATTAGCATTGCTGCCTTCGTGAAAAACCTATTTAAAGGAGATTCGACCAACGTTATTGAAAAATATTATTATTACCTATAAGTCTATTTTCTTGCGCTCATCGAACTCAAAAATTGATGATTTATTGGAATACATTTGGTTTTATGCGTTTTTTTTTCTTTTTAGCAAAATTACATATTCGCGAATAATATAGAATTTTTTCTTTTTTTACGTACCATTTCAAAAATCTCCTATGAAATCGAAAAAAATTTTTATAACAGTTAGTGAATTAGCTTAATTTATTTAATTCATTTCTACTTTTATTTAATTTTAATTTTTTCTATATTTTTAATTTTTTTTTTATTTGAAATTCATTAAGTGAAAATTTTAAAATTATTCACAATAATAATTAATTTAAATATTTTCATTAAATTTTTGAATAAAATTATTTATTCATTTAAAAAGAAAGAAGAAGACAGAAAAAATATTGTTAGTCCATGCATTTGCGTTAATAGTATCAATAATATTTATTAAATACATTTTTTTTTCTTTTTTCAATCATTTCGAATTAGATTCATTGTCGGACTAAATAAATTTCACTTCATATCCAGAGAGAGTCATTTGGCGATAAAAATATTGGTGAATCACTTGGATTTTTGAAGGTGAAGCTTACTTCTGCTGGAAGTGGAACCTCAGCATTGGTGCATCGAAATGAGACTAAACGATCCTGAAATTGAACCATTCTATCACCATTAATTTTACGAATCGTAAAATATATATATATTTTAATGCAAAAGAAAAAATTTATAAATTCTGAATAATGAAATTATAAAATTTCGCTTTTTTTTTTTTAATTTATCGAATTTAAATCGAATTGAAATTTTTCGAAGCTTATTTAAATACTTTTGTTGATT